ACCGCTCTTGCATTCACAAGTAGCTTTTGTGTTCCAGTTTTTGCATTCTGAATTTTCACCACATCTGTGTCCCTCTGCACAGAAGTTATGGCCTGAAATACAAGGAACGTAAAACCTGGTATTAAAATGTGTTTATTTCAGGTACAGTTTATTTCAGTTTTAATATTTACACTGACTGTATTACACTGAAAGTCTCTGGCATGCTAAATTCTAGAAAATCTCTCTATAAACCAATCTGGTGAACACGTGCTTTTTGGATTCCTCCATCAATTCATTCTCAGTAAAACCATTTTGTTCAAAAACGTGCTTTCATGAACAGTGTTAGTCAGGAGAAAAGACAACTTCAAAGCAGGAAGCCATGACAATACGTTAGTCTTCTACTGAACCCATATAGGCTAAAATCCCACCTTATCTCCAATTGCCAAGAAGTATAATACTAACTTACACCTAAAGGAAAATAAAGTGTAATATCAGAAAAAAAACCTTCACAGTTCTCTTATTATGCACAATCAAGCATGCTTTTAGAAGAGCAGAAATGAGACATTGTACTAGAACACAAAACTACACTGGCAGCCAAAACAACCTCATGTGCTGCCTTATAATTCTGTCTTCAAAAACTGGCTGGATTATTTCTACAGTTTATAATTACTCCATGCACCGTATTTCATAGGGGAGAATTTTCACTAATCTCTCCTTTTTCCTTTGCACTAATTCCAAGTGGCTCGCTCCGTTGTAAAGAGCTTCTTTTATTCCATGCAAAGTCATTTCTACAAACATGATGAACTTTCCCACTTTCCTCTATAAAGGCACAACTGGCTGAAGTTCTTTCTTTCTGATTTTCAATATAATATTTCTCAAAGATGTGTCAAAATATCTCTCAAGTCTAAAGTGAAAGTAATTGCAACTTTATCTCTTTAAAGGCATGCCACTGGAAGTACTCTAAAAGATAAATAAATACCTTACAGAATTTGACAACAGGAATTTATTTTCTCCCCTTGGTGTATTTTTGATGGATTTTTCTCTATTAATATCCAGGAGTCCATTTCTCTTTGCCTGAGATATATAAACAGTCATTTTGGTAAATCTTATTTTTTCTGGAATTTCTCTCCTGGCAGGAGAGAAACCAGAAACCCAGGCATACCATCAGCTGCTTGGATTCCAACTTGTGCTTATGTGAACACAACAACAGTTTTTGCCAAATCTGCCTGGTCATAAAGGAGCAAACTAAAAGTCCTAGTTCACCGATCCTAAACTTTCTTAACATCTCCTAAAGAGAGGGGAGAAAAAGATGACCTGGGCTTCTAAGACCCAAATGTCACATTCAGATCTTCGTTGATACCCCTTCCTTTGATATTCTTAAAAGAACTGCAGAAGACTTTAGCTTATACTAAATATAGCTTTCATCTACAGTTAGCAAATTGTCATAGGGCTACCCTAAACGTGTTGTTCATTGGGAGATTTTTGCTTTTTAAACATGTACTTCAGTCATCTACTAATTTAAAACTCAGGTTTTGTCATTTCAGTGCTTTCCAACTTTATGAGTATGATCATCCAAGGTTGTACGGTCTGGGTTTTTTTTAAGTTGTAACACTTGTTAGCAAGGAACACACTTTCTCAGCGTCGATGTCCAACACAACATTTAAACTTTGGATTAAGTCTGTTAAAAACCAAAACTCAGTTAGTTCAGTTCTGTCATCGTAGTCCAACTGGCAAGAAACAACCAACTCCACTAATGAGAACTAGCGATGCCCCTTCTGGTCTTCATTCATTTCACAGTCTGGTAAAAACCACTCAAGTATTCCAGATGCAGTCTTGTCAAGCCTGGGTACGTTTTATACTGGGGAAAAAAGGGTGCAGTTACACTGCCTTTAGCCATTTATGCAATCACAGTACTTGACTTCCCATTTTTGCTTTTATAATTATAATTGAAACTAAACACTGGAACCCATCTCCCCAAAGTTATCCATTCAGTATCTAATTTGTACTCCCCAGGCAGGATTATTATTCTGTTGGCATTCATGATAATATCCAAGAGACAACAAGTCTTATAATGTTTTCTTTGTTACTCTTTCCCCCAAGACTACAACATCCCAGGCTGTTTCCTGCTTCTTTGGAATAGTAATCCTCCTTTGAACTCATACACAGCATTAGCTGTTGTAGCTGCTTATCATTGGTACATGCTGCTCCTCGGGACTGATGTAACATACCAGGGTGTTAAGCTAGGCACTATAAAAAGACCACATTTTAATTTAGTGTGGACTGTTACAACTGCCCTAGGATACTTTATTATACCTCACTCTCACCTAAATCTCTAAAAAATATTTAATCTTTTGTGGCATGTTTTAGCTACAATAGCCCTTACAAAACCTTCTGCACCAAAAAACTTACTTTCTAGGCTCTTTTTGTCCCAATGAGTCAACATTTCACCTGGTGATAAGTTCATGACAACTTTAACTCTTACAAGTGGTCAAAGGGATGGCTTCTCTGGGTTAACTTCCACCACAAGTCCCAAATCCCAGACCAACCACTCTCCCCTAACAGCACTTTCTCCCAAGCACAAGTCAATGATCAGTTTTCAAAATCACATCATAGTCTAGGAATTCTTCACTGTTTATTTGCCATCTCTGAAATTCACTGGTAGATATGATGTCTACCCTAACTATGAATTTTTTACCAAAAGAGCTGTCACTTTAAAAAAAAAAAAAAATCTCTGGAAAAAAAAAAATTATTGCTTTTATTCCCTTTTTATCAACTCAGGTATGTTCTCGCCTCATTCAGATTCTGACTCTTTCTTATGTTTTCAAGATTGAAGGCTGTTAAAAGAGCACAGAATAAAAAAACACCCTAATGCTCTAGTTCTGTAACTTGCATAATCAGAGGCTCTAAAGAACTTCTGATTGTACTCCTCTCATTAGCTATACACAGTGATAACACCTACTACATCTCTAGATTGCCTTGGCATTTATTATTATAAAAGACCTATTTCAAAAATGTTGACTAAAACTGACTTAACCTCAATTTCCCATAGCTTTTCAGCAAACTTGTTCAAAATCTCTGCAAGTGGAAAGTGGAGGCCATTCCTGGTAAGAGCACGTATGGTGCTACAACACTGTGTGTTACCAAGCTTTTACAAATGTAGTTTAAGGTTAAGCCACAGAAAAAGAAAAAAAAAGTACTTTATGAGATAGAAGAGTAGGGGTTCTCTGTGCCTCTGTGAGAGCAGCACACTGTTGATGGCATCAGAGGCTTTTCCAAGGGCTTCTCTTTTGCAGGGAAGGTGTACATTTAGCACTTCAAAAGAGCCAAGAGGTGCTTACCATGGAAGCCTGGTTCTTGCATTTCTTAGACCCTTGTCTGCATTCTCCTCAGCCGGGGGTTTTGGAGGCAAGAAAGTAATAATATGCTGTCTACTTTACCTTAGCTCCTAGTGGAACTGAAAGCTTTCCCTGCTTTTCTGGCAAATAAAGGCCACCCTGGTTTTGGACTGAGATGTGAAGAAATAAGCTAGCTGTGTTCTTCTCACATTTAATAATGCCAGCTCAACACCTAATTTAACTAAATATTTCAATTCATTTGTGTTCAGCAAAACAGTCAGGAGTGCACACAGGGCCACTGACTACGACACCCACGTTTACATTCCTGACCGAGCAGGGAGAGACCCGAGCACTGACTTCCACATCAGCCTATTCACAGGCAATCTATTCCTGGGAGCAATTACCTACCCTCAAGCAAGCAGAATGGAAAGGAATGTAAATATCTCATTTTTATTAATTCTTTGGTGTGAAACAGATTATAGGGTTCCTTTAAAGTACCTACACAGATGGAACCACCCGTTGATACTGCTGTGGGATCTCTGATCCTCAGTCATGGGTGGCAGCCAGCAGAGGACACGTGTCCCCACTGCCCAGGTGAAAATAACAATTACTGAGACTCCAGGATGTTCAGCAAAGTCTTATCTGAGACAGTCAGCTCCTCTCTAAATATAAGAAACGGCTTAAAATAGAATCATCACATCTGAGCAAGCAGGCAGTTGGAGAGGATTTGACAGAAGCACACAAAATCTTAAATAGTTCTGATAATCTAAACTAATTTCAGGCCAACACAGATGACAAGGCGAGTGAGCATGAATTAAAATTACAGATAAACACATTCAGAACAGATGTCAGAAACCGTTTTCCCCACATGTACACACAGTTATAAACGTGCACAACAGCCCTTCAAAGTCATTCAAAACATTCAAGATACAATTAGATACTACTAACAGGGGAATTAAATATTGAAGAGTGTGTTTAGATTTTTGATGGGTCTGATGGCCTCTGTTCCCTCCCCCAACATTGCTGATAACTCTCATTACTCTCTTCCTTTATCAAGGCTGCTGAAATATTCACTCCAACTTTTTTTTGAGAGCATATTTGTATCTACTTCTTTCTTCTGACTACAGAATGACCATTAATAAATGTATTAAGACAATTATGGAAAAGATCAGATTTCCTGGTAACAGACATAAAACTATCAGTTTTGCAGCAACAGGAACTGCACAACTGGCTCGGGCCAGTGGTCACGGGTCAGATTATCTAAAATTAAACACCTATTCCATTTCATGACAGCTGAACATTGCTTCTATGAATCTGAATTTCCCCAGCAGCATGTTAAGCTGCTTTGTTCTGCTATTCAGTTTTTATAAGTACCTAACGTATTTGGTAATTTGGCTTAATTATTGACTGAAGAATGCAAGAACTCATTCAAGACTACAGTTGGAAACATCTCATATCTCTGACTACTTTTTCTTATAGGCAACACTAATGTGCCTCATTTTTCTGATGGTTTCCTTAAAATATTTGTAATGCTTTCTGTGCTTCTTACAATATCCCTAGCTGTTCACTTCAAAAACTGTAAAACCCCTGTCCTCTTGCTGTTCAAGAAGCTACTTTTAAAAAATCCACATTTCACTGTTTCATCTTTCAGAGGCTTCTAAAACAATGCTTCCATTAATAGCATTAGCACTGTTCAAAAGGTTCAAGGTAATTTCAAACTCAAGATCTTCACTGTTGTTAAGATTTAACCCCACAGTTACTACATAAATGTGTGAAATAAGTCTGGAGGATTACTCATAGAAGAGTCAAAGATTTGCACTAGCAATTGCACCCTTTCGTGATCTGAATCACTTTTTACTGAGTCCTGAGCCATAAAGCACTTAGAACAGCAGATTTTTTGCCTCCAGAGGCTGTGGTCCCAGAGCTCAGTTGTCTGACATAAAACAGTGACTTCATAAATCGATTCAAGCTGCTATTTCAATGCAGACCTTATTACATACTCCTTATTTGTGCGCATCAGAATAATGCTACTGCACAGCTTAACAAGCTTAGAAAGATTTTTTTTTCCAGATATAAAGCTCTCCTAAATCCCAAGGAGCATTGTAACTACGTTTAGAAATAAACCAATTCATATTTATCAACCTCCATTAAATGTTAGTAAATCTAAAACCTTGACATAACTCATACCTCACAGCAATGAATGAGGAACATTCCATTCCTGAAAAAGCAAAACCCAGTTTCACAGCTAGACAGGGAGAGATGACAAACACACTAACCTAGGAGCCTCCTCATCCTCCAATTCCAAGAATAAAAAAACTCCTTAAAACTAAGCAATACAAACAAGGATGGCAGAAGCCCCATTTTCAGATTTAAATGCTCCCTGCCCTAAAATGCACACTTCAGCTCATCAGTAGGATATCTCTGCTTCCTGCTCACCAGCATCAGCACTCAGTCTAAATCCATCAGCCAAACTGCATTACAGGACAGTAAATAAAAATTGCTTCCTCCAGAAAGCAAACAGCTCTCACTGCTTCATGATTTCCTCACACTCTCTCCTCCAAGGAGAGCATGACTGAAGCTGTTAAGGCTATTCTTACATACTAAAATTGTGAGCATAACATCAAAACTCTCATGAAACTTTATTTGAATCACTCATTCAAACAAGAAAAAAAAATCCACTCTTTCAAAATTATACACTGTCTTTGGCAAGGAGAAAAACAGCTAAAGGGAATAATAAAACACTTTTATGACACTATTTTTTGTATTAGATTTGTCCTTGGGCTATTAAAAAAAAAGAGTAGAAGGCATGCTGTAAGAAAAGTGAGTGATTCCCAAAAAGTAGTAAAAAATATTTTATTACCCAATGATTCTTGTAAAATTTTAAAATTAACCAAAATTTCTGTAAGCCTAAAAAGAGACCTTAATAATACCACATTGTCCTGCTGCTAAGTAGGAAATACCCACATAGCTTAAGCAAACATTTATATTAAAGCACACAGATGAAGGGGAAAACTAAGTACTCTGTACCTAAGATTCATGGAAAGATCCTATATCCAGGGGCCTGTTTTTGCATTCAGGTACAACAAATCACAACAATAAGCTGCTATTGTACAGCAGAGCTCTCCCATTCTGTGCCTGCCTTGCTGTGCACCTTATACGATCATTTTACTGAAATCCAGAAATTGGCTTTTAGCAATACATTAGCTTTTGCTATACTATAAACTCATGTATCAAACCTGAGGAAGAAAAGGTGTTATTTGCTGTCTTTACTTTTCCAAGCATTCACAAACAATAAAGACCACCTAGGAAGCCCAGCAGCTGTGTACATTACAGTATTCAACTCAGTCCTTTGCTGACTCACAATTTCCATCACCATAAACACCACAGATTTCTTTTTTTTCCTTGCACACCCCATTTTATTTTAGGCACTTATCTATTATTGTGGTAGATATTACAGTGCTCCCTGAAGAGGGTACAGTCTCATAGCACAGCATCATGAAGTTCCCTTATTTCTCTGTGGTTTTTTCCTACTGTTGATCCCCCACATTTATCCTTTCATTAAATGGAAATCCCTTTGCTGCAGCTAGAAAAGCACAAGCTGAAAACCTCCTACCCTTGCCCAGCTCAGCAAAGGTATTCGGTATTTCTGCAGGACTTGAAGTTTGGTAGTTTTCTGTTTCCACAACCGGATACTAAACAAAGCACAAAGTAATATAAAACAGGAACCTACTAGTCACTAGTATGCACTGATAAACTTCACATAGAATTACTGCTCTCATTTGACATTACTAGCAAATGCTTCCTCACCATCCTGTTGGCTAACTAAAGGCCTAGCTAAGGGCTAACACAAACAATTATCTATCTGTATCATCATACATAGGGGAAATCTGCACATGATGCACAAAAGATCCAAGTGGGCTTCAAATAAATGCTCTGATTACTCACAGGACTTTATTTTCTACAATATTTCTTCCTCACTACTTTTGCTCACACAATACAAGCTGAATACATTCTCTGAAAGAGGTTCTTTCAAAACAGAGAAGCACTCTCTCCTTCCCCAGTGAAGGACATGTCAGCACAGGAGAGGACCAGAATCTATGGCCTGCTTGTCATACCAGAGGCCACCTGTTGGCATGATAAAACTCACACCAAATATAGAATTCTTAATAAATACATATATTTTAACACCAGCACTCACATACGATAAAATTATATACTACCACTTTGGGTTGCATGCAGCTGAAGCAGGTGTCAAGCAGCACATATTCTACTGCAAGATATAAAAAGCAATTTAGGTGTGCTAACTTCAATTTATGCCTTTGTAAAGTTGACAAAATTCATTATCTCTTTAAGCATAATTTTCAAAAGAATTTTAAAAAACCAAGCTGAAATAAAAAAAAAGGAGGAGGTCCTGTTTTAGCAGTCAGCTAAAGCAGAACTGAAGGGGAAGTTTAATGTACCAATTTGAAGGCACCATTCCTTCCTTTGCTTCCAGAGACCACCACATGAGGATACATATTCATGCTATTTTATAAATAATAAAACCCCTTTGGGGATGAATATCTAAAAAGAGTACCTACCACTAACAATAACAAAGAACTGAATAATTACAGAACTTATCTTTCACCAGCTTTGAAGCTTTCAGATTTCTAATGCTTTTAAGTCCCGAAGACACTCTTCCCGTACTGCACTACGTGCCAGGGGGCCATCTGTTCAGAGGTGTCATTAAGAGACAGAGCCCTCTGAGGGACAAAGAAGCCACATTCACTGATGGCTTCAATGGCTACAGATGTTTCTAGAAACAGTTTAAAAAACATGTATATCTGTAGGCCATGATCCAACAAGCAGTCTCAGATGTGCTGGTCCCTGCAACCACATACACATACTTGTGAGTTCAAGGCCTCAGTAAACAGTTTTCAATCTGTACTTGCTAGTTAGTATCTACTGGCTAAGGGAGAGATTCAGAGCCCCTTCCTCAAAGGAATTTACATACAGTCAAGACTAGTCCAGCAGGCCCCAATAACCACCTAACTCTGAAAACATCCAGTGCTCATCTGGCACATCTCCTGCCTGAGATTTCTGAGGTGCACCACTAAAGGCTGATGAGCGAGTCATGGTCTGAGAGACCAGGCTCCCCTGAAGTTCAGCTGACACTCAGGACCAAGGGAGAAGTGTGGAGCAGAGGTGAAACACAAACACACGCAGGGAATGACTATTCTAACACCTTTCACCCAACAGTTCACTGATTACAAGAAGGTTTAAAGAATAACGCTTGTTCAAGTTCTCTAGCCTTATGACACCTGAGGGGATTTCCTCAACATTTCAGCTCTGGCTTGTTCAGTCTGGTCCACAGGCAACCTGGATGGAATGGGAATGAGCAAGAGGAACCTGCATCTCAACACCCCACACAAGAAGGAAGAATGGGGGTCTTGGCTCTACAGTTATTTTTTCATTTTTATTCTGTAACTGTCCAGCCTCATTCATAAATGAGTTGTGAGAGAGCTCAGACCTCAATCAACCTCCAACCACTGGAATCTTAACATTATTATTGTGGTTTTAAAAGAGAGGGCTCAAAAACCCATTTCTGAAACCCTGGATGTTCAGTGCATTTCAAGTTTAAACAACATAAAATACCTCTTTTTCAAGTAGAACTCCTTCCTAAGGGGAATTCTTAAGAGATACTGGGCCCTTTCTCATCCAACTCTTCCTTCTCTCCTTCCTTCTAACTCAGAGCAATTACAGCTTCGTATGTATGTGATACAGGAATATCACAGACTGGTTTTACATGAAGGCTAATTATAGACTCAAGTTTACAGAGGTATCTAATATCTCATTAAAAATTAATTGCTCCTTCCAGTGTATCCCCCCCATTGAATCAGCAATTTACAGTCCATCCAAGCACACGTAGCCTCTGGCTTACCTCTACAAACACTGCAGCACTGGTTCTCTGGAAGAACACGATCTTTTTCCGAGCAGTTCAATGGTGGACAAGTCTCTGTTACTTTTACTAAGACTCCATTCTGAAAATAAACAACATTTTCAAAAATTACACGGATGAAAACATGCGCAATGGCAAGGATCACATCATTTTACATTTGTAACTCTGCTAATCTCTACTAACAACACGGGTAAACTAGCAGACAGCAAGTTAAATTCATTCTTTACATCATAACATCAAAACTAATCTACTTGTACATTTTGATGACCAGAGTTGAAAGAAAAATAAAGGCACAAAATTCTACATAGTAATTTTTCCAAATACATTGTCTCCAAATACAGTTGTTCTCCTTTCAAGTGTTTGAAGGAACTGAAGAATTTCACTCCAAGTTTTTGCCAAAGATGGACTTCCTGATTTATGGAAGAACAAGTTTTACTCCTCTTATTTCATATTCTACATAACTCACTGGTAAGTTATTCAACTCTAACAAAACACAGCAGATAAAAGACTGATATTTTCAACCATCATGTGGTATTCTGGTGCATCCACCTAAAAATGCCTCTTATTTAGAATCACTGATCACCTCAGTTTCAAAAAAATTAGGTCATTCAAAGTTATGACAAAGCAGAAACCCCATCCTGAGGTATCCATGTAGAAACTGCTGTATAAAAATGTAACTCAAGGTCCAAATATTTCTATAATTTTGATCTCTGCTAGATTCAGAGTAAGACTGTTCATAAGGGGTCTTCTGCTGCTGGCAGAAATTCTCTAAAATAATAGAGATAGAGCCTTTCTGGGGAGGTCTTACATCAAATTTTACTTTTCGTCCCATCCAGGAAACAGCTTCACCAGAACTCCAGACCAAACAACTGTCCTGCTCTTCAGTTAGTTGTTTCTAACTTGTCCCAGTATAGCTCCCTCTTTTCCTTTATCTCCCTCCAGCCTTCTCCATATCATAACCTCTTCTTCAGCACCCCTTCTGCAGCTATGCCATCAATAGTGGCAAGTGAAGCATAGATTAACAACCAGGATTTTTGCTCAGTAGGAGCTACAATAACAATCCCATAGGACTGTCTACACCTGAGTAATCCCATTCACCAAAGGGCTGTGGAACTTCACGAAGAAAGTTGGCAGCCTGCAATATTGCCAATAAACCTTTTTAATATGAATCTAGTCTCTGCTCCTCCCAAAGTATTTTTCATGATGCCTCAGATGGTGGAACAAAAAGACCGTAGGAGAATTTCTGCTTTCTTCCAATAAATAAATGACTTTTTCTAGCTATCATGATTGCAGGGAGAAGTTTAAAAATATGGTCCAAACACATCTAGGGCTAAGAAAGCAGAGGAAAACAAATTAAAAAAAAAAAAAAATAGGTTATTAAAGCCATTGTTGTCATAATCTGAGGGATCAGGTATGTGACTTTGAATAGAGGATATTGAAAACACTGATATGTCTACCCTGCATGAAGAAACTCTCCTGTACAGAGACACTCTTGCTAGCCAAAGCTTGCTTGAGCATCTACAAGTCACTGTGCCATACCATGCCAAAAGACTAGCTCAGGGGCCAGACCCAGCAGAGGCAAAACTCTGTGCTGGTAATTCACCTCAGCAGCCATGCCCCACTCGGACAGCGACATCTCTCCAGGCTCCAGAACTAGCTTGCAGAGCATGAAGCTGCCCTCCACAGCTGCAGCTGCAGCAACTGCCCAGGCTGCAAGGTGCACGCGGTGCAGACGGTGCCCGGCAGCGAGCAGGACGTGCAGCAGACCCAGGGAGTCCAACAGGGACCATTCCACACTCACTGCTAGTCACTGCCCTTAGGGTTGCAATCTTAAGACTAAGCAGGGCTAAGTTGTTTTTCTCATTTCCAAATTGTCTTTACCGCCCAGTTGCATCGGTTGCTGTCATGAAAAATAATATTAAAAAAACCCCACAGGCATCAGATTTTCTTTTCTTTATTAAAAAAGGCAGCACCCTACAGTACCACGTAGAGCATGCATCGTTGCAGCAAGTGCCCACACAAGAACAGTGAAGTTAATGGAGGTATTAGGTCTCCTTCTGATCTCACTTCCAGAAGTGAAAGGGAGGAATCCCCCACGGCTGCCTGTGCAACTGCAGCAGCAAAGGTGATAAAAGAACCACACTGAGCCCTCATTTGTTATCACGTTATCAAACTACCAGCTGGAAAGCTCCGGCAGTAACTCATTGCCTCTTCAAGCTCAGACAAGACAATAGCAGCAGATAGGGTACACTATGTCAACACATGGACAAAAAGCATTGATTGATGATAAGTTTGGTCAAAAAGATGGCAAGAAATCATAAAAAAGTCAAAGCATTGATCAGGAGGAGTCAAAAAGCTAAAGACAAATTCAATCCAAGCTCAAACCTTCTTTAGTGAATCACAAGACTTAAAAAAAAAAAAAAAAACACAAATTGAGACTTCCACTAACTTAATGACAGTACAATTTTGTTTTCCTACATTTTCCATTTTCTGCAGAATTTGCGTCTTGGGAAAACAAATTGAACACATTTGTAATTAATTTTTAAAACTATTGAAATGTTTCCATGTTGAGCATTCTTTGGATTAAAATCAATTTGTTATAAACTAGCACAGATCCAATTTTAAGAATTATCATCATTAGATTTCAGATTTCACCCACCAAGATGAGTAAGAATAGGTCACACTTCAGAATTATTGCTTCAGGCAGCCTTAGGAAAATGACTAACTTACACTCAATGCACATATGTAGCCATAAAAACTGGACAGAAATAGATGCCAAAAAGACATACTTCTGGAATAAACACGTCAAGCTCCCACTGTGACATACAATCCACAAGAATGAGATCGGGAGTCAAACATTTACAACAAGATAATTAAATTTCTTGTAATTACAAAGGTAAATACATAAAAAAAGAATTGGCTGTAAGCCTCATCTGTGGCATGCAGTGGAAATCTGAACCACTAACAGTTCGTTTCAGATGATCAGCTTTGGAACATAATAGCAAGATTTCAGATAAGGTTATTTGGGGGTTTTGTTGTTGTTCAGGGTATTTTTTCCTCTCTTGTTTTAGCTGTTATTGATCAGCCTTCCAGAAGGAAGTTCTAAATAGCATCCTTAGCTGTCACTCTAGGAACCACATTGTTCCTTACCTCTATGAAAAACCTTTTAGCCTAGCTTCCTGAAAGTCAGCAGAGCCCTGTCCATCTTTGCAGCGTTCATATGGCACACTCTGATTGCCCGCTGCCAGCGTTAATGAAGAGGAATTTATCCTCATACCCTTTGCTGTCAAACGTCTCCCAATTTTGAACAGGCATCGTGTCATTGAGAGGGATTAACCTCAAAGTCAGCTCATCAGCAGTAAACTCCCAATCCAACAAAAGTTAGCGAATTTTTTCCATTGACTTCAAATGAGCCGTGTCACGATACTGGTGAAATCCTCAAACCACAATAACCACTTACTGAATCAAGAAAGGTGACGTTTTCTAAACCACAAATACACCTGTATTTTTTAAAAGGACCTCAATAGGCTGGAGAAATGGGCTGACCCAGACTCCAAGGAGCTTAACAAGAAGTGCAATGCCCTGCCCTTGGGGGACAACTCTATGCACCAGTGCGTGCTGGGGTCACCCTGCTAGAAAACAGCTTTGCAAAAAAGGGCCTGGAGGTCTGGGCAAACACCAAGCAGAACATGAGCCAGCCACATACCCTTCCAGCAAAAAAAGGTTAACGGCAACTTGAGTTGAATTAGACAAAGTACTGCCAGCAGGTCAAGGGAGGTGATCCTTCCCCTCTACTCAGCACTGGTGAGGCCACATCTGGAGCGCTGGGTCCAGTTCTGGCCTCCCCAGTGGAGCAGGGTGAAGCCAGTTACTTTTCAGTGGTGCCCAGTGACAGGACCAGAGGCAATGGGCACAAGCTGAAACACAAGAGGGTCTGTCTGGACTTCAGAAAACCTTTACTCAGTGTGAGGGTGACCTGGCAGTGGCACAGGTTGCCCAAGGAGGTTGTGGAGCCTGAATCCTTGGAGATATTCAAAAGCCATCTGGACACATCCTGGGCAACTGGCTGTAGGTGGCCCTGATCAAGCAGCAGATTTGGACAAGATGACATCCAGAAGTCCTTTCCAACTTCGACCATTCTGTAATTCTTAGAAACACCTGTGCACTAATTCTGTCATTTTCTTGTTGTAGATTAATTTAGAGAGTGTTTGTGGGCAGGATTCCAGGTGGGAATAGCTGTCCATCAGTAACATCTGTGCTTATGGTTAAGAGGATGTGCATCATAAATATATTTTTAGTCTGGATTAGTTTTCAGAAATTAAAACCAAAACCTGCTCACAGCCTGATAAAGAAAATCTCTGATCTATCCGAATCCATCAGTAGTATTATTTTTGTTAGAGGGAAAAACATATAAAAGTTAAAAGCCTCTTAAGCTTGGATCAGTATCTATGCAAAGAATATCTATCTTCAAATAAAACCTGAAATGTGCAATTTCTACTTTATCTCTTTGACATTACCCCACCTACAAACACATAGTCCTCTATGGACACAAGTGCTACTCCCCAACATTTTAGTCATCTTTATCAACAGTAATAAACTGACAGTTCATGTGTACCCTCTATTGTATTCCTTCCCAGATCAATAGCCTTTGAAACTTGTTATCTGTTTTTCAAGTCTGAAAAATTAAACCATCTTAAATTTTTTTGTAGTCTTTCCCCTACCACAAAGTCCCTCATTTATTCAGGCAACACCTTGTCCACCTGTAGGCCCGCATGGGATAGAAAACAATGACTGCAGCCACAGTTTGATTCATCACCATTCATCCTTCACCTAGTGAGCATTCCTAATAGAGGCAACTAATAAGTAGGTGGTTGGTTTAGAGCTTTAAGAGGTTGTGCTGAAGACACATTGAATAAACTTCCTCTCTGGAGACAAATCATCTGATATGAGCAGAGGTGAGCACTCACTTAAAAACTCTCCCGAGTCAAAAAGAACAAGCCTTGCCAGTGAGGTTTAATGTCTTATTGAAATGCAGTTGTGGAAATACTTTTTATCTTTTTCTTTTGAGGCATGGACCCATTTTTTTTCATGATATCACATTTGCAGGTGCTGTTGCAAGTACTTATCAATGCTCTCTATTAAGATGTAAATAACCCAAACTGCAACATTACTGCAATTAGCATTGCCTTATAGCATTCCTTTAACAATAAGTAAAATGCCAAAGCTCTTTTCATTATTATTTTAGTCAGTTCTAATAAGACAGCTATTTGATGGTTAGTATTAGCTTTTAATCTTCATGAATGCATTATCATATTCAAAACGATGAGCATAACGCTCTTATTTATGGCCCAGACAAGTCCCACAGACATAATTCAGATCACTCTCTGGATCCACTTTAAAGTGCGAAATCCTCCTGTTCTCATCTTCTCTCACATCGGCACTTTCCCTCCCAAACAAAGCTTCTGTGTCATACTACAAATGACAGGCACCTCAGTCTGCCTTCAAGGAAACGGCCTTGCCCACCTATTTGTGTACACAATGCTGAGCACCCCTCTACAGCTAAGCACTAACAGCAGCGAGGTAATTCTGCGTAACAAGCTGCTTCCACAGCATCTGCAGCCAGTTATTGTCCATCTCCATTAGCGAACATAAAATTGCTGCTCTGTACACTCAGCTACCAGCACAACAATAACCAGATCATTGTAATCTTTTCCAAATGTTTTTCATAATTGTTCTAGCATACTGATCTGTCAGCATTTGTGAGCCTCCTCTTTATCACCCTTCCCCCTCTACAAATTCAGCAAGATACAGACCCCAAAATACTTGAAAATTACATGTGACAGCAAATGTGTTTAAAATGGAGGTTCCTTTCTGAAGTGATAAATCACACAATAAATACATGTCTCAGCAGAGCAATGGGCCTCTTCTATTCACCTACTACTACTCTCTTCTTCTAAGGCTAGTCTTACCAACAGCTGGTTTCTGCCACACCTACACACCATGTAGCACTCATAATCACTAACACACCCTGAGTGTTCCTAACACAGGCTTCATTTACCTCTGTTCTTAAATACTGACTGGAGCTGTCTAAATGTTATGAAATTGCCAAGCCCCCAGTGCAATATTTAGTAATTTACTTCAGTTACTATCAGCAATACATATAGTTTAAATAATACTAGGGGAAAACTAGAGTAACTCAAATGATATAACCCAGATTGTTTCAAATATTAGCAATTTGGCTGAAATTAGTAACTGGCTCAAGATGCTGCTGCCTTTTCCTAGAGCTCATGAAAGCAGAGATGAAAAAGAGAACATCCCTTCAAGTCATTTTGCCCACGTTTTTATTACCTTGCAAGGGTCATGTTCTGGCCTTGGTTTTTTATTTATGGCTTTCACTGACTTTGAGGTCACCTTTTCAAAACAACAGATGCCACATTTGCATGAAGGAAGCCTGAAGAAATGCACTAACTTATCTTTGTCACTTTTGAACACCACACATACATTTAAAATCAGCAAAAGTTTATACAATCAAAACTTACTCGACATTCCCTGCAGCTCTTGGTTAATACTCGTTGACCTTCTGCTAGTACTTTGCCTCCATAGATACACTTTGCTGTAATTCAAGGGAAGGAGGGAGATTAAAGGTAAGTCAATTAAATAAGTATTTAAGTAGTAAACAAATGCAAGGTATTACACAAAAGTAAAACTAGCATTAACATACACTGAAAAAAATATTAATACATAAGAAAATATTGTGTATCTTGTTTTCATCAGAAGTCAGTATTATATACAGAATCACAATTACAAAAGCTAACAAAAAATGCATTTTAAGAGCAAGTAGCATCTTTACCCAAACTGAAAGAGTAAGAGCACAAGACAATACATACTGGACCAAATTCATTACTACTCATGATGAAATACTGCCATTTGTAGATTAGCTACGGTATTTGTGCTACTAGAGGCTTTCATAACTCACTGGAAGAATTGCAGACATTTGTTAGTGTATTGTTCATTAAGAGAATAATATAAGTAGAGATTTCAATTAAACCTTCACAGTTTTTGTGGGCGCAAAGGTGAACTCTTCAACTTGCTGGAGCACTGCAAAAATGGATTAGCTGCAGAAAATGACTGTACTGAATCAACAAACTGTAAAAATCTATTTCAGAAAAATATTACTAAAGCACACTTGAAATAATCAGATTTTGCAGGAAACTGAAAGCTTCTACTAAAAAAGTCAAAAGCTTTGATCCTTCTACTCAAGATAACCAGCTCCACAACCGAACCAACAGACTGGAACATGTGAGCACTCATTCATTTCAAGGCAAAGCCAACTAGCTTAGCTTAGGACTACTGCCACCAGTAAGGAGGAGGTAACCCCTCCTTAATGGCCACAGTAGCCGACAGCTTGGCCAAGTATGGCCATAACTACCCCAGTCCTCTTGGAACTAGATGTCTAAATTTCAACAACTTTTTATCCTGGTGTTTCAGGTCTCTCTGCAATAATAACAGTCTCATCTGTGACGCTGAAAGGGGAACTAAAGTATGAATCCTGTGTTATAATGGAAGAAAGCTTTAAAAGCTTCCTGAGTGAAGGGAAATTAGAGAAAGTGGAAGTGTTCAAAGTACTCTGTTCAAAAAAAAAAAAAAAAAAATATATATATATATATGGACTACCTAGTAACTGCTTTACCTCCATTTTTATCCTGATTACTGAGGTAAGGGAACCAAGCACATGCAGGGGCATGCCTGTACCCCTTACCAAGTGATACCAGGAGGAGTATTCCACAGCAGCAACTGTCATAGCCAGTTTGAGCTACAACTACTACTTTTAGACAGAAATTTGCTTCTACCAACTTTGTTTAAACTTAGTCTTGAAAATGCTTATTTGTTTAATAAAGAAAAAACACAAACACCCACACAGCTCAGTTTTCATCACCAACAATGCATTTGAAAAACAGGGTTCTCACTTTTGGTATCCTGCTATTCTTCATTTTCAAAAGTTACCCCTAGTTTTTATCGCTGAGTTGTTGTGATCTCACTTCTGAAGAAAACTTCAGATCAGTAAGCTTTGTTTAAATTAGGAATACCAGAACTATTTTGGGGAGAAGATGAATTAGAGAAATTTTCATTTTCTTTCTGTCTATTCTCCTGACATGACTGCTTTTAACAAAAGAATGGACACACCAGAAAGCAAGTTAACACGCAACTCAGAAAAATGATGACATTTTGAACAAAATTACAGGCTTTTGTCAAATATTAGTTGAAAGGCTAACACAAGATGGCAGGGACCAAAACAGAAGCACCTCATTTTTAAAACCCTTGACATATCAGACATTAGAGCTACTTTCTTCATTAACCCTCAGCTAAGACAGGAAGCTGTTCAATAATCCAGCCATTCAATAATCCCCAGAGACAGCAAATTACAGCTGATGATTCTATCAGAGCTAAATAGGAAAAGCACAGAGAAATTAACACCTGCAGTGCAGCTCTTCAGAAAGCCTCAGCAATTACTACTATCTACCCAAAAGTGACTGACTGTGGCCCTAGCACATCGTTCTGTGAAGGAGCTGGCATTTACAATCAATTTCAATCAACTTCCATACATCTCCTCCCGTTGACTGACATGCTGAGTTCTTGTCAGAATAACGAGTCAAGTTTGTGCCAATCACTGACAAAAGGCAAGTTTCATTGTTCATCTTTCCATTACAAACAACAGGAACACAGTTTATTCATGGGGATATACATTGAAGCTACAGTTTTATGCCTCACAGTTCCTTTGTGTTAGATTTTGACCCATTTGCATACATGCATGTTGGCAAAGGAGTGTCAAGAGAAGCATCCGGTTTGATGAAAGAAACTTCTCATCTCTCTAAGAAAAAACACTTTTGTGACACAAAATACAGGCCAGAATGGCCACTTATCACCCAAGCACTCTGTTCATAAACATCTTTTAGTAAGCAGAATACTTGTGCCAACACAGAGCTGAGAGAATGAGATGACATGAGTTAAGGAGCAAGTGCAGGATCACAGCTAAGGGACATTTGTGCATGGAACTAATAAATTCAGTACATTGAATTTATTATGGGCAGGGGGGTGGGAAGATAATCTGTGCTTCTTAAGGTACAACTGGCATCAGTATTCAGCTAAAATTCATCTACAAATAGTCTTTGTTCCTGGTACAACTACTCACAGAATAATAGAATCATTTTGGTTGGAAGAGACTTCTAAGATCTTCAAGTCCAACTGTTCCCCCAGCACTACCAGGTCACCATGAAACCATGTCCCTCAGCACCCCATCTACAAATCTTTTAAATCCCTCCAGGGATGGGCACCCCACCACTTCCCCAGGCAGCCTGTTCCAGGGCTTGACAAGAAGAAATCCAACCTAAACCTCTCCTGGCACAACTTGAAGCCATTTCCTCTTGTCCTACTGCTTTTTACTTGGGACAACAGACCAACCCCCACCTCACGCCAGCCTCCTTTAAGGGAGTTGTTGAGAGCAAGGAGGACTCCCCTGAGCCTTTCCTCCAGGTTAAACAAGCTCAGTTCCCTCAGCCACTCCTCACAAGTCTTGTGCTCTAGACCCTTTACCTGCTCCAGTGTTCTTCTATGGACACACTCCAGCCCCTCAATGTCCTTCTTGCATTAAAGCAACAAATATCGAATATTCCATCTAGGAGTGTTACTTACAGCTTTCCTTTCCAGAACAACTACTGAAAGCTGACAATAACACTCATCACAAAATTTACTGGGTTTGATTACTTCTCATGAATTTATTTTGAAATTAATTACAGAAAACAATCACTCCAAACAGTGATACTAAGACAGGGTCTGAAATTTTACACTGACAATAGATAGAGAATGTTAGAAATTTGCAATGCTTGTTCATTTCTCAGCAATTACTTATTTTCTTCTTAAATCAAATTTGCCACTGTGACTCTCGTTACCTGAATTACCAGGACATGTGAAAGTCATTAGAAAATGTGCTTGCTTTCAGGCTAAGACTGACTCTTCACAGGCAGAGTGTGAACTAAAAGGTCTGTGTGATGCACTTACCCTTGCACACTTTGCAGCACTGGCTTTCCACATGCACAGGGAGAGCATCAGGAGGACAGTCAAAAGGAGGACAGGACATCCTTCGGCACTCCACAACTCCACTCTAAGTAAAGGTTTTTAAGACAAAATTCAACTATGACTGTTGTAATGACTGAATAATTTATACAACACATGCTATTTAAGCAAATGAAAAAAGCATTCCATATGCAGACCCACCCTTCAGTAACAAGTTTAATCCTATCCAATTACAGACATGAATCAAAGTGCATCTGAAGGTGAAGCCCCCAGTTTAACACACACGACTGGCTTTACCCTACTTTCCCTGAGCCAAGTGCATTAAGCGGAAAACATAAGCCCATCTTTACAAGAACATAAGCACCACTTTCTGTAGGCTGTGCCAATCATCTCTGAGATTTTTAACAACCAGTTTTCTATTTTCTTGAGCAAAGACCCTCTTCAGATATTTATCAAATAATTTTAACAAGACAAGATTTACATACTAATTCTCTGCTGTTCCTCAGTTTTTGAGAGATAAACACTGAAAATAGAATCTGCATGTTGTTACCATGCAAGATGCAACTCGGCATCTGTGAATACTATTAAGATAATGCTTCCTTTTTGAAAAAAACTACCAGAGTAAAAACAATTCCAAACCAAACACAGACCATGTCACACTTTCACACCAAAACTGTAAAGTCCTCACAGATATAATTGGAACAACTAAGAAAGTGTTGTTAAGGGAACGCAGATTTTATTTATGAAGCTTGCAGAGAGGCAGTATCAAATTTTTAGTTACTTAGTTTACCATTTCCTTCCCTATCGTTCATACTGCCACTGCATACCCAAGCTATAATAATTCTCCAAGTTAATATTATGTATTCAAGGACGGTTTTCCCATTTTAATTAGGTCCTACTCCTTAAACTCTTTAGAAATTCTTACTTTGCATGTGCAATTCCTGCAGTGATCATCTTCAACCCATGAGTCTTTGTCTCTATAGATCAGCCCATTCACTTGACAAGTCTTCTCACAATGACAGTCTTCCAATTGACTCAGTCTTGTTTCTGCATAATTTAACTATAAATGAAAGTAACTTGATGAGATTTCTGCAATTCAAACACATGATTTAAAGAAGCAAATATGAGAAAGCAGTACAGTTATTTTTAGCCAAAGCAAGTGTGACTACAGCCTTTGAAATACTGCACCACGATGTCAGCAGGTATAAACTAACCCTACTCCTTGGATTTTGATGGAGCTATCCATGCTAACTGACAACAGTTTATGACTCTTAAAACTGCCTTTGTACTGTAACAAATCCCACCAAGGTCCCCTCAGGACTGTCCAGGCACTAGCAAAAGTAAACAAACTACACTTATTTTAAAAAAAAAAAAAAGTATAAATTCTTAATTGCTCATCAACCTGATTACAGGTCAAAAGGCCCAAAGACTGGTGGTCTCACTTTTCCTAATCATCCCCATCTCATCATTGATAAGCATCAGCCAGACAAGTTCTTTCTGTCTTCTAGAAAGGTCTCAAACTTGTAACAGCAATTGAGATTTAGAGGGAAAGAAAACATTTTAATTAATTGTAGTACAAAATATTCCCAGAATGTGAGCAACGGAGAAGCCATACTTCTGGAGCAAACCCTGGGCTGGTGGCTAACTCTTAACACTCCTTGCTGTTCCAATTACCTCCTCAATTACAACTCCTAAAACGCGTATCAAGAAGCTATAACTGATGCATCTTTTCCAAGGATTACATCTGCACAGTAGCAGTTGGTATGTTACTGATGAGATGCTACACATGAAGTAGGAACATAGCTCATTCATGAAGCAGCAGCAAAGGGATGAGGCTTTTCAAACCACTCTCTCCCCTTAGCATATCACAGTCCTCCTCTTCACACAAGGTACCATCTCATCATCCTCCAGCAAGGGACAACCCTGCCCATGCACACCTTGTACCCAGTGCCATCATCTCTAATCCCTAAGGGCACTCAAAATTACTTTCTATTTATTGATACTAAAAATAAATAAATACATAAGTAGAGACTTCGTATCTAGAAGTAAATATGTGCATTCTTCAAGCCTCAGAACTGCCACTGCTCTAAAAACTACCCTGGTGCCAGCTGAATAAGAGTTTCTCAAGGCCTTGATTTTTTACATTCACATTTGTCTTATGCATATAAGCCATCACACTGAAGCCACTGCAAATAGCAAGGCTACCTAAATCTGGCACAAGGCAAGAGGAATTCACGCTCTATTATGCAATAAACATGATGCTATTATCCTACCTATAGGTTGCTACATTTTAATAGTACTAAATTTCATTTTAAAAAGGAATGCACAGTGCTATAGTATTCTTTACATAATGCCATATACCTGCATTTCACATATTTCCACCATCTAAGATTCCATTCACTTTAAATGATATGTCTTTTTTCATTCCTGCCAGTAAAAGAACAACTTATTTAGGGGAAAGAAAAAGAAAATAAATACTAGACCAATTTCTGCAATTTTTTTTCTTTTTTTTTCCTTTGCAGTCCTCATGAGAGAAAGCCCTGAATAAAAGCTCTTTCTTTCTTAAGTTGTTATTCTGGAATAATAGGGGATTGATATTCATCTCCCCCAGACTCAGCACGATCTGATGACTTCGCTCTTCCTGTTTTAGAGGCAAAACTATCCTCTTACTGAGCTGCTCATTTTTCAGTTTTTCAGGTCATTATATTTAGCCATTATATTTACTGTAAATAAAATGTAATTAATTTTGTTAAAAAGGTATTAGAAAGGCCTGGTTTTCTAAAACCTGACATTTAGGCTCCACATCTCTGTTCTCTGCCTGCCTGCCCTGCTAAACAGGCTCCCTGCAGTCAGCTGCCCAGCTCTTCTCTTTGCCTTGCCATACATCACCCCCACATGATATACCTGGATCTACATTAGTACCACTCATGGCTACCACAGCTAGGACTAAAAAGGCACACACAAACTTTAATGCTTCCCTCAAGTCCCTCCATTCTTAACTCGCTTTTGGCTACCAAAACAAGGTCCTTTCCTGCTGCATGCATTTTTCCTGGACAGCAGTGTTTCTGTAACAACCGCAACGAAACAGGCGGTGCCCTGCTACAACAGAAAAGGAACTTGCAATGAAGGATTATCCCAGCACCACTTCATGGAAGCACAGAGTCTATGCAGCACAAATACTGTGTTATTTGCTTCCCTTCACGAGGTACTAGCAAGCAAAAATATAATTAACAACAGAGAAAGCAAGTTACTCAGTACAGTGTGCAATTGGGACTTGCTCACACCACCAGCGGGGCTCAAAATAATTGTCTCTCTTTCACAGTGCAAGCAGCAAACTGAACCCAAAGCTCCACAGCTCGCGTTTGGAGTCAGCCTGTCCAAAGCACGTCAGCTGAGGAAGTGGATTGTCAGTATAATGTGCACGCCACCTAAAAAACAGTTCTAAAAGTTTCCCCCTTCCTATTAGGAAGACAAAGGACATTCGAAGGCAGCAGTATGATGCTTTTACACTAGTGTTGCTACTATGCAAATCCTGGTTTTGAAATTCCTGTCAGTAATTACACCGAGATTAAAAGCATCTACGGGTTGGTTGTAGTTATACTTAATCTATAAGTAATTAGCACGTAAGTGCTGTTTCAGAGGAGACAAATAATTGCTTTTTACCACAGATGAGATGGTTCATCAACATTAACCTCAAAAAGTGTTCCTAGATTGTCCTTTAACATACATCAGGGGTTCAGACACCTCTAAAATACAGCTTCCCACCCCAAAACCTCACCACAGCCTTAGTTGGAGGGCCTTGGCTAACACAGAGGTTGACTGTGTACTATGGGAGCAAAGCCTAAAGAAAATCTCCAGAATTGCTAACAAAAAAACCATTATAGCTTCCCATTCATCCTATTCACAGTTCAAACCTGCAGCAGGCGCAAGAAAAATGAAACAAAAAAAAAGTGCACATCACATCACTATTTTGGAGCCTCATTTCAGCTCCCAGGAAGGAGATCACACCAGTCCTGAAGGCATCACAGGACTTCCCACAGGCAAACACACACCCTCTGACAGCATCACATGGTGAGGAAATTGTTGAGGGATTTCAATGCTTTGTTTCTGCATTTATCCCTCAGCATGAAATGGGAAATCATGCTACAGCTTCTTATCAAAAAAAAAAAAAAAAAAAAATCAGACCCTGGGCATTTTGTCACTATCTGACAAATAATAAGGCAGACAATAGAAAATATATAAGGCTTAAGTGACATCTGTGCAGCTGTATCTGTAAGTCCACTGCACATAGGGCTATTGGCAGACAGAGGACAAACGGCTCTATCATGAAAATGTAGAATAACTGCAAAAGGAATAAATACTTTCATATTACCCTTAGCACAGAAGGAAATGGGCAACTGACAAAGAAGCTTAGATACCTACTTTTGCAGTCATTTTTGCCAGGAGTTCTTGCAAATCCATGATTCCTTGCACCAGACTTAAGAAATCGCTGCAGGTTGGACATGCTCAATAAAGGAAGAGTAAAAAGAAACAGAAAGGAAGAGAAGGAAAGACAATAACCCATAAATAACCAGCAGTATGTCAGAGTTATCTGAACACAAAATGCAATCTGTCTACACAGAATTTTTGCCTTCTGGAAGTCAGTGCATGCAAAAATGACAAGCCTGAAAATATTATTTGTAAATCAAAGATATAATTTGTATGAAAAACCAAAAATAGAGAGAATAAAGAAGTTGCTACTTACTGCGATTCAGATTAGGACACTGTGTTATGTATCCATTGGGTATAAAGATGACTTTCACATCCTGAATAACACCCTTTGTGAAAGAAGAGAGATCTGGTAATACAGATTGCAAGCATTCACTTTGATCTGCACAAGCTCCTTCACAAGTTATTTCTTAAGCGGGTACAAAAAAATTGACCAACTCACTCTTCTCATGAGGAAAATAACCGAGAGATGGACCCAACATAACTCCTCCTATCTTCTGCGTGTTTGGATATTAATTTTCATAAAGCACAGAAATAATACTGCTTTGTCTTTTGCAGTCACCAAATATATGCTGCTTAAATGTCTTAAATGGGATAAGACTGGTGAAAAAGCAGTGAAGTAATCTCCATTATTCAAGCCCGTGACACACTTTTCCAAAAGGCAGAAAGACAATGCTCCTTAGTGATTTAACCAAATAAGACTCTGAAATCAAATGTTATGAAAAGAGATGTAAGGAAGTGCAAGAGGTAAGTACGAGTCTGCACTTCAGTTATTTGGTTTAGTGCTGATTAGCCGACAAGCTTTGTATCTCATCAGGCAGTTCATGTAACCGTGCCACCAGAATTAAATCCTCTCTCTCCTGCAGACAGATGGAGAGATCCCCTGTGCAGAAGTGGCAGAGAACAGGGCTCCGAGGTCAGAGCCAGCGAGCACAGGGGTTACGAGGCCCAGAAACCAACAGGGCAGGACAGGAGAGAGGAAGGACCCAAAGATCCAGTGCTGGCTGCAGCCTCTGTTGTCCCTGATGGCAGCAGTGGATGTGAAGGGCTGCCCAATACCCCTGCACAGCTAGATCATCAAGAAACCTAGATCCCCCAAGTAGCCTAGAAAATGCTGAAGTTTGTGTTCATTCTTTTAAGCTTAGTACAAAGCTCTTGTTCCACCTTCAACTGTGTAACATACTCCACAAGAGCCACAAGCTTTAATAATGTCATGGTCAGTAAGGGAGAGGAGCAAGGGAAAACAAGGGACTCCTAGTGCTGCTATTTGCACTTTCCCTGCCTGGTAATCAGATGTTGTGACATGGCTCTACTTGCTCCCAGACACAAAGGAATTTCTTTCTTTTGTAAGGAAATTTATCATGGCAGCAGTTATTATCTAATTAAATCACTGATTTGTAAGACTATGTTTTAATTTCTGGTTAAACTTCAATACAGTGAATTTTGCAGACTGAGGACACAGTCGCTTGCTCAAAAAGTTGAACTCCATCCATAAATAAAATATAGGCCTCAGACAGCCCCTGAAGCCTGGCAAGTTCAGTAAGTAACATTTAACATTTATGTGTTCATTTGCTAAAACAGCACAAGGTAATCAGCAAGCACCTTCTTACGTTTCCTGCTTACTGTCTCATGATCAAATATTAAGTGAAAATATTAATAGACATAATCAGATAACACTGTCTTCCTGCAGAAGTATATACATTTATTAACCTTTTCATCTATGCAAATAATGAAACCATCATAATAATGAGAAGTAATACTGTCACTGGAAATGGAACATCCTGAAAGCCACTTTACATACTTTCTGCTAGCAGTCATCAGCGAGAAATTAGGTGAGGCACAAAAATATATTTCAGTGCTTAAGCCTCTCCAGTGAATAGCTCAGCCGAGAGTAAATGAGATTACAAAGTTTCACCAGACCACACTGCAGAGCTAACAAGACATCATCCAGAGAGAAGGGAGAAAATGTTCTCCTCAGCCTTCTTTTAAAATGTTTATATTGAATTTCAAATATGTTTGTTGCATCAGAGACCCATCGCTCAATTGTCTTTTGGACAGATTTGCATTTAAATACAACCAGAAGAGGAAGCACAATGATTTTTTTGTGTCTTAATTTCTGGCTACGTGAAAGCATGTTACCATGGAAAACTGTATGAACTTCAATTTCTCAGTATAGATGTCTCCTAAGCCTATAAACCCTCTGAAACAGAATTAATATTATCAGCTATAGAACTGAACCTTCAAACAGCAGAAATTTTGCTGATGTATCCTTTTAATAGAAAGAATTCATTTTAGGCAAGCACGTGTTACATCTGTAATTATTGTAAACGTGTGGACAAACTTGGACTATGCCTCCATCAGCACTAGGTCTAGCTTGCTGAGAGCCTTCTGTGGCCACAGACAGAGGAGAACTAGGCACACACAGCTCCTGAGGGAAGTCCAGGGCCCCATTTCACTTTGGCACTAGTTCTTCAGTCCACATTCCATGAAAGGACATCGTGATTTGGCCTTGACAGGGAGATACCAGTAGTCAAAATCTTCCCAGTCTTTCCCTTCCCAAGCAGGCATGACCTTTACATTATCTTTAAAGCATTTGGCTAACTACAACCAAAGCTTCAGTTCAGCATCAGGACTCAGGAGCTTGAAGAGCCTTCATTTGCGGAGGTTCTCCACTTCTGCATTTCCATCCCCCCCACTGCCCCGCACCCTCTCCAGCAGCTCCTTCGCCCAGAGAACACTTGCCCACGGCTGCACAGGCTGCCTCGGCCAGGGCTGGGGACGGGCTCCACACGGTGGCACTGGGAGATGTGCCCATAACCTGTGCCTAGGCAACACTACAACAGCACCACTAGGTCAGCACTGTCCTCTACACAGGGCACACGTGCCCCAGGCCAAGCACTTGAGCACTAAGGTCTTAAGTCTGTAGAACTTTGTCTGTCTGTCACCTTAGTCTGTAGAGCTCTGAGAGCAAAAGGGCTACAGGGGCCCAAGCATGCCCACGATAGCATGCAGTAACACCAGCACACTTCTCGAGCACCTGTATACAATCCCCAGACACAGCAGCAAGATCAATAGAGCCTGCTAGAGCAGATATGAAAATTACCATCTCTCGACAGGAATCACCTAGTCAGCAACATATTAATAAGCTCATTTCTCATTTCTGCAGCAGCTCTTTGGAGGGAGCCTTTGGGGGAAGGGCTTTCCCGAGCGATAAAATGAATTTTGCAGATAATTCTGATCCTGACAGCAATTGGATCCATCTTAGAGTGAGGGTTCCCTGGACGTCTGGTATCACCCTTCTTTCAGTTGCATTTCCTTTGTTTTCCTAATCTGATTATAATGGCATTCTCTAGCCCTAAAAGAGACCTTGGGTTTGGGCAAAGAACACAAAGAACCTGAGGAGTCAGCATGTATTTTTTGAAGGCAGTAATTCATGAGATTCCCTTCAGAGCAAACAGACGAAGCTATCTTAAGCCTGCTCTGCATTTGCTCCTGCCACTGCTGTGCAAAAACCATTTCATCTTGTCTGAACTCCAAATGCTTGGTCATAGCAGGTAAGTTGCCACTAGTATGAGATGAAGTTGCCTCTCACAACTAACAACTCCCCCTTGATTATGCCACAGAGCACTTCATTCCCCAGCAAGGCCACAGACACAGCAGGGTTACTTGTGGAATAATCACTGTAAGGATGGATATGGAACTGAACCATAAATCATAAAAATGGCAGCAACTGGCCACAGTGACTTATGAATACCCCCTCTTTCCCCCCTGAAGGACTATGATCCAGAATAGGCATAGAATATGGCCCAAAATGTGCTTTAATGCTATTCGCTTATGGAGAGACACAACAATTCATTAACTATCAAAGTAAGAGCATTTTTGGAACAGTGAAGATGATACCCAGAACAATATCCAGTGCTTTCTGTTACATACATTATCCTGACTTCAACACACATACAAAAATGTTAATTCTTTTTTAATGCTCTTATTTCCCTGTAGATCTCTGTTTACACTAAGGAAAAATAGATCTATTTTTTTTATATGCTAAAACAGTGAAACAAATTGCTCTGAAAACGAAAGGGAGGTCCTGCTGAGCATGTAAATATATGGAAAGAGATGTGCACTCTTTATAAACTGGCAAAATCCCAAGTTTTTGCAATGAGTAACATAAAAAAAAAGCAAGATTCTGAGACTCTCGAACAGGATTAAAAAAATACAACCAATTATATTTCTGCCCTGAAGAAAGTTAGTAAGATATTCAAGCATGCATAAAGCAAAGTAAGGCACTTGTCGGCTTTCATTATGATCAATAAAAACTGTCAGCTCATTAGCATATCATTAGCTACCCTGCTGTTTCCAAAGCGTTAACGCACAGAAATATTAATTTACAAACATATAATATCCCAGAGTTGTGAGGCTCTTACTGCCTGCATAAAGTAAGAATTTAAGATGGGCGAATCTAATATAACTTCCTTTTCTTCCTATGTAGCTATAAACATATGTTTACCATCTGTGGAATTATGGGAAGCAGCTGAGGTAAAAAAACAACAGCTGTAGAATAAAATAATATTATCAATTTCACTTCACAGTGACAGCTCAGCTGCTGGAGGATGAAATGTACTCTGGGTTCAGAGCAACTCTCTGACCATAATTTAAGTTAAAAGTTAGCTTCTACCTGTTTCACTATTAAAATTGTTAGTGGCTATGCTTAAATAATTTTTGCATAAAATAATTGCCCTAGCTTGTTGAAAAATAGAAACTTCGAGGAGAGATCCTCAGAAAAACAGCAACTTGTAAAGTTGCCTTCTGAACTGACAGCTTCAAAGGGAAACTGAGTGGGTGGTAAATCACCTTGGCAACAAATCCATGCCAACAGGGAGGACAGGCAGCTTGGCCCATCACTGCACTGAAGATTCCTTCACTGATAAACACTCACACTGTGCCTTGTTAGCCATAACTGCCAGAAATACCAGAAACTTTTCCATAGCTTGCTTACAAATGAACTTTCAGGTGAAGGGAACGGTTTTCATTTGTTGGTGGATTTTTTTTTGGTTGGTTGCTTCAGCAACTTAGCCTCAACCAGAAAACCACAGAGGGCAAAAAAGCTGAAAGAAAACATATAGGAGAGGGCCTTTGAAGTTGTAGGTTATTTATCTGTCCTCTGCAATTTTGGAAATATATTGTCATTAACTGAAACTGGAATATGCTGCCATTGCTTGAATTCCTTCTGAGAAGCTCCTCATGCCCATACTGGCTACTCAGAGATGACATCTCAGGGAGCCTCGTGGAAACAGACAGGCTTTCCAGCTAGAAAGTAGGAGCAGCCCACGTCCTGCCAGCTAGCCAGCCTTTCAGCCTGGGCTCTGTGGAAGCCCAAGGACAAAGAAGCTCACAAACAAAAATTGGTGACCCACTATTAGCTGTCAGTTGAGACACAGTGACACACTTAGTTAAGAAAAACAGAAAGAATGGAAGGTACTCAAAGAACAGAAAAATCTACTGTTTTGCAGCAAGGCAAAAGCACTGCGTGCAATAGGTGGTATCTGCCAAAGCTGGAAGGATCACGGGCCAGAAGACCTTCCCTGCTCTACAAGTTAATGCTGACAGGGGCAGAGTCACCTGAGCAGCAGAAGGGTCAGAGTATTCTGCATGTGAAATTGAGGAAGAAACAGCCACCAAGAGTGATTCAGACCACCACAGTCTGGCCAGGAGACAACAGCAAAGCTGTTGTTTTATGAAGGTGTAAAGATGAAAGCCAAGAATAGATTCTGACACTGCCTACACAGCCTCATTCTGTCCCCTGGAGTGCCAAGGCACAGCACAGCAGGTGGGTGAAACCTAAAGTAAGGAAACCAAACACAACTCCCAAATACTGAGCACTGCAGTCAGTGACTATGATATTCTGCCTTGCAGGAAGAGACTCTTTTCTCCAAGTGTAGGATCTGCCTCAAAACCCAAGTCCACAGTTCCTGCTAAAATTCATGCAAAAGAGATTTCAGGAGTGTAAGACAACTAATCAGAAATATCATGTTGACTAATATTGATTTCCTTCTTCATGTGCCACTTCTTATCTGCTTACCTTGAAGAAACCATGCTTCCTGTTTCTCTGTCCAAGCCATAAATTGCTTTCAGGTGTCAAATTCGTTTCTGGGGGGTCAATGATGCGTTCATAAATCCTGCAGAGGGAATATATTGCCATTACTTGAATCTGCTTTTTCCTCTGAAAAGTTCCCAGAAGTCAGTTTCCATCCCAAAAGATGGAAAGTAGAATAAAAAAAAAAAAATTCATTAAACATGATACTTATTATTTACAGTTATGAAGGTATATTACAACTTGAAAAGCAAAAAAGAACAAACAGGAAAAAAAGACTCTTAAAATCACTAAAATATGAAGTCTGCATAAAACTGAAGCTCCCCTTGTGCAACTGCAGCACTAGGCTCAAGAAACACAATGCCAGAAGACACCATAGAAGGGAAAAATACTGAAAAAGGGCCATCCTGGCCTAGGGGTGTCCTTCAAACTCAACCACCCATTCTAGAGAAAAAGTGCAGCCACTCACAAGATCCAACCAGAGAAACAACCCTTTGGGAATTTCCAACAGGTTAGAATTTTGAACAGACTTCACAAAGAACCTTTATTCCAGATCTGCTGCCTTGGCCTTTTTGTATGTTTCTGGGTTTCATCCTTGCTCCCAGACCTTTTGTTTTACCCACTTCTCCTCTGCTTGCTGCTCGCAGTGACTTCACCTGGCTGGGCTGCCCACGTGCGCAGCCCCCAGGGCACACCCAGCTTGCCCCTGTCACCAGCACAGGCCTGGTACAGACTGGGACCTCTTTGGGGGTGTGTGGTACCTAGCACTACAGGGACAGCTTCCTGCTTATTCTTCAAGAACTAGAAATAACACCAACAAGAAATAACAATGACACTAAGTAAGATGAAGTCCATAAGCAAACTTTATGTACTGCATAAACTTGCACATGAGTGCAGTAATCTACATACCAAATTCCTAAAATTAATGCATGAAAAATTGCTGTAAGACAGCATTTTTCAATTCACTAAAGTAACTATCTGGAGTTTTTAAAAGGCTTTGCTTGGATTTTTTCTTTCTTTATTTTCAGGAAAGCTGTAATGAAGTTTCCACACCAGCTTTTTCAGGAACTCAGACCACTACAAAAATGATATTATCATTTTGGAATATGAAAAATTCAAGACCAAAGTTACACAGACCCTGGATTCTCAATATTGTCATAATGGTGGGAGCTAAGAACTTACTGCTTCATAACAAAACCAGCATGCTTAATGAGGATCATGGAGAAGATGATGAAATAGATTTCCATTACTACCCAGCTCACAGGGAGTAGGTATTGCTGTGTAATCACACCAGCATGACAGTCAACAGAGAAGACTCTGAATGTGTCAAGATCTGTGCTTAAAAGGGGTGAAATTATCTGTATGTTTAAAAGGAGTGAAATTATTTTTCTTCTTTCTTTAAAGTTATGGCTTTAAAATGAACATGAAAAATGAACACCAAAGAAAAATACAAGTCAATCATCACAACTCATTGCACCTTTATCTCCCCATTCACACTCCTGAGTGTTTCTAGCACAGGCTTGCCAAGTATAACCTTTGATTTTCCTGTTGGACATGGATACACGTATGGGGTTTGCATGGCAAGGTTTTGGTAGCAGCAGGGGCTACAAGGGTGGCTTCTGTGAGAACTCTGAAGACACCAAGGTCAGTAAAGAAGGACGAGAAGAACGTGCTCCAGGCTCCAGAGCCTCACCATGGTCTTCACCACGGTCTGTAGGGGAATCTCTGTCAGATAGTGAAGAACAATTCAGAGACTGCCCCTGCAGCAGATCTCCACGTGCAGCCCATGGTGGATCCATCCGAATGAGGCATGGGCCACATGGAGAGCTTGTGATAGAGCAGGCTCTTGGCAGGACCTGTGGACCCAAGGAGAGAGAGAAAACCCCGCTGGAGCAGGCCTGCTGCCGGGACTTGTGACTCTGATGGAAACCCCACACTGGAGCTGGCTGTTCCTGAAGGACCACATCCTGTGGAAGGGACCCCCAGTGCAGCAGTCTGTGAAGAACTGCAGCCCATGGGAAAGACTCACATTGGTGAAGTTCCTGGAGGACTGTCTCCTGTGGGAGAGACTCCACACTGCAGCAGGGCAAGGGTGCAAGGAGGAAAGAGCAGCAGAGACAATATGTGATGAACTGATCTCAACCACCATCTCCCACGCCCCTGCACCACTCAGGGGAAGGAGGTATAGAAACTGGGAGCAAATTTAAGCCCAGGAAGAAGTGAGGGATGGAGGGAAGGTTTTTTAAGTTTTTGTTTCATTTCTCATTACCCTACTTGGATTGGTAATAAATTATTTTCCCCAAGTCGAGTCTGTTTTACCCATGATGGTAATTGCTGAGTGATCTCTCCCTGTAGAAGTCTTTCATTGCATTTTCTCTCCCCTGTCCAGTTGAGGAGTGAGAGAGTGGCTTTGGTGAACACCTCATGTTTAGCCAAGGTCAAACCCACCATACCACATTACTGGAAAATTCATACACTTGCAGAAGCCTAGAATAAGCTCCCAGTATTAAAGAACTTCAAGAAAATTCTGTAAAGGTTTTTATGCCAAAATACAAAGAGTCATATTCCACTTACTTCTGCTTATCCAAAGAAGGAAACCATTTTTCAAAACCAAATGGAAGTAATCTAAAAAACTAGAAGCAAGCTTCTTATTTTCTTAAAAAGGAGCAACAAAAATATCAAACCTAAGAACAAAATACTTATATGAAAATTCCAACTTAAGAATCGGAGTACATGAGTCAGAAGACGACTTCTAATACTCATGATTTTATTGCTCAAGTTTATTATAATTATCATCAGCCCTAATTCATCACATTTCATCAACATGATACATTCAAAGCTCTGGGAAATTTCTGCCTCCACTAGTTAATTACTTCTTACTATGTATAAAATTACCATGCTGAGCTGTTTTCCTTGTTCAAACAGCAAAACAAGATGATATTCTTTTAAAACACATCTTGAGAATTATAGGAACTTTGCATTTACTGTCTCTATCAGCATTTTAAAGTGTAAGTAGAAGCCTTCTGCTATACCTCATGCAAAATTGAAGATCTACTCAAATGCAAAACTGCTGAAAAATGCCAAATGAGGAACAAAGAATCGACATGCTTCTTGAGAAAGCAAATCACTGAATTGCACTATCATAGTAGGAATTTCTCTTTGGATATGTAACACATCGTTATTCATGACTTAGGGTAATAATATCCTCACCAGAAAAAAAATCTTATCTTGTAAAAAGACTAGTCAATATTCCATAAAGAACTCCAGTTCTGCTAACAAATAAAATCCCAATGCTGACCAGGTTCAACAAGACTGTTTCTTGAGGATTATTTGATATTTATTCACCTGGCCTAGTTAAAGTTTATAAAGGGACTCTACAGCATCTGCCTGTAATCACATATATAAAAAAAAAAAAAAAAAAAAACCACACACACACCTAACTGATGTTATTTTATGACAGTTCAACAACAGCAAGGAAGACAAACTAGAGCAGGCTAAAGTGCCTGATCTCATCTTTTCTGACAATTTAACAAAGACTTTCAACGCATGCAGAAAAGGCTGTAGCACCCTTCCCTCCAGAGCCTCTTCAAAAACTGCCATTCATACAACACATGCTCTGGGTTCCCCACATTCCTCACTGCTTGACTCCGATTCAATATCTGAGGCAGGCATTTACCTTAAATTAAGGGATTCATTAAAGGTCATTTTGTGCTTTATTCCACATATAAGAGACTGGTTGGTTTTATTCTCTGTAGATCTGCCCATGGAGTAACAGGCTTAGGATGGAAGAGAAGGCATGAGATGTGTATCAGTCCTTGCTGAGCTTCATGTGTAAAAAGATGTTTTGGTCGACACTATTTGGTCTGAGAACAATGTGTGCTTACTTTATTACTGTGTGCTGTTAAACATCAGCAAAAGAGCCCCAGCAAGCATTGACACAGCTTATTGCTACCTGAATAATCCTCTCTATGCTCTTGAGACAGGAAAAGGTCAAAAAGTCCATCTGAATTTGTAAGTCACAAACCAAGCAAAAAAAATGGAACCACAAGGAACATAGTTCACCATATAATATTTCTCTAATGAAGAATTAAGACCTTAAAATTAAAAAGAGCAGAGCCCTGGAACTCCTGACAAAAAGGGAGAACAACGCAAAAAAAAAAATCCAAGGGACTTTTCCAGCAAGACTGAAAGCTGCCATGCAATACTGAGACAGTTACAACAAACTGGAACTATAATCAATCAAGGATAATAAAGATGAAAACAAACATTTTCAACCATCAGTGAACAGGGTTCACCACCTGACTGCCAGCAGAGCTGACTGATGTGCAGCTGGAGTAAAGCCAGGAACTGGGCATCTCTCCTGGCCACCAAGTTCTCATTTTAAGCCACAAGAACATCATAAGCAGTGCAGCATTCCTAGAGCAGGTTTCTGAGGAGAGAGACTTCATGGGTACTGAAGACAACCTGTCCATACAAAATGATTAAGGTGGTACTTGCATAAGTAGTTGGGAATCTGGTTTCACCCAGACACATACAAATATCAAATATTATTGATTATTCATGTGATTATTTTTTAGGAGTTTTCAGCAATTCTACACTTGGACAAACCCATAAAGCATGAAAATTTTGTAACTTATCTCAAAGTGTAATGAGAAAACTACTTAAAGGTTAAATTCTCTTAGAACTATTGCTTGTAAAGTGGGAAAAACACTTGCTCTGCTTCACCTTCCTGTATTGGGGAAAAAAAAAAAAAAAAAAAAAAACACACCATAAAAAAAGTGCTTTTCAGGCTGAAAAACTATTGTTGCTGAACAGACACTGAAGGATCCTTTTTCTTCACAGCTACATAAAGCTTCCACACCATTCTCCTTCCCTTGCTTGATTTTCTGGGCTGAAGCACGTAACCTTCTATGGCTTTATCCACACTTGACCAATACTTTGTATTTGGCATATCAATAGCTAAATTATATCTGCTAGGCTTCCAGTTTATGAAGTGCTGGTCTAGAGCTCCTCAGAGATCAGTTTCCAATATACTTGGCTTTGATGCCCACACAGAGAAATGTGCAACACACTTGATGAGAACAG